TCTCAAAACCTGTTAAGAACACAACAAAAGAAGAAAACTGTATACCAACATCCTTGATAAACATACATGCAAGAATTCTCAAATACTTGAAAATCAAATTTAACTACACATCAAAAAGATCATACATCATGACCAAGTTGGTTTCATTCCACAGGTGAAATAGTCTCACAGAACTAGAAGAAAACAATCCTAAAATTCATATGGAAGCACTAAAGACCCCAATAGACAAAGCAATCCTTAACATAAAGGGCAATGCTTAGGTACCATAATACCGGTTTCTAAATGTCCTATAGGGCAACGGTAACAAACAGTATGGTATTGGACATATGGACCAAAGGAATAGAATAGTAGACCCAGAAATAAACCCATGCACCGATAGCCAACTGATTCTTGATAAAGGTGCCAAAAACAAACACTGGAGGAGAGATAGCCTTTTCAACAAATGGTATGGGAAAATTTATATATAGAAAACTGAAACTAGATGCCTCTCACCTGTACTGTACTCAACTCAAACTAGGTGAAATGTCTTATTATAAGACCTGAAACTTTGAAAGTAGTAGAGGAAAATATAGCAGAATATATTAGCACAAGAAAATATTTCCTGAATAGGATTCCAATAGCTCAGGAATATAGACAAGAACTGATAAGGTGAATTTCATCAAACTAAAAAGTTTGTTCACAGCAAGGAAAATCATCATTAGGGTAAAGAGACAATCTACCAAATGGGAGAAGATCTTTGCCAGCCATTCATCTGACAGATTAATACCCTAAAAATATTAATAACAAAATAACAAATAATCCAATCAAGAAATGGGGTTCCAGACTGGAGTTGTGGCTCGGTGGTAGAGCGCTCACCTAGCGCGTGTGAGGCCCTGGGTTTGATCCTCATGCACCACATAAAAATAAATAAATAAAGGTATTGTGACCAACTACAACTAAAAAATAAATATTAAAAAAAAAAAGAGGGCTGGGATTGTGGCTCAGTAGTAGAGCGCTTGCCTAGCACGTGTGAAGCCCTGGGTTCGATCCTCATGCACCACATAAAAATAAATAAAATAAAGATTTTTTTTTTTTTTAAAAAAAGAGAGCTTGAAATTTAAAAAAAAGAAAAAAGAAAAAGAAATGGGATTCCAGTCTAAATGGACACTTCTCAAAAGAAGAAATACAAATGACTAATAAATAAATGAAAAAATGTTCAACATCTTTAGTCATTAGAAAAATACAGATCAAAACTACAGTGATATTCCTAGGCCAATCAGGACGACCATTTTTAAAAAGCACAAAAACCAAAAATAAATACTGTAAGGATATGGATTAAAATGAACCCTTATACACTGTCGGGGGAGGGGGGAGTAAATTTGTAAAGCCACTGTGGGAAACAGGATAAATATTACTCAAAAAGCTAAAAATGGAACTACCATTTGATCCAGCTATCCCATTCCTGGGTATATATTTATATATGAAGGAACTGAAGTCAGCAAACAAAAGAGATCCCTCCAAACCCATGTTTATTGCAGCAATATTCACTATTTCCAAAATTTGGGATCAGCTTAGGTGCCCATTAACAGATGAATAGATAAAGAAATATACAGACACAATGGAGTATTATTTAGCCATAAAGAAGAATAAAATCATGTCATTTGTAGAAAGATGGATGTTACAGAAGGTCATCATGTTAAGCAAAATAAGCCAGACACAGGAAAATATGTATTTCATGTTTTCTCTCATATGTGAAAACTTTAAAAAAAAAATGATTGATTACCTGGAAGTAGAAGAGAGATTCATAGGGAAGGGAAAATGGCTGGGGTGAGAGAGAGAAAGAGAAGGACAAGGGTGGGTACTAGGAAGGTTGGATGGAAAGAAAGCACAATATATGCATCTGTGGAAATGTCACAGAGAAACCCATTAACCTTATAATTGAGTGAATTACAATTTTAAAAAGCAGACACAAAATAGGCAGCAAGGAAAATGTTGACATTAAATGTTAACTTTATAAGATTTGAACATGGGGGGAAAAAAGAGGAGCCAGATGTGGCATCACATGCCTGCAGTCCCAGTGGCCCAGGAGGTTGAGGCAGGAGGATCACAGACTTGAGACCAGCCTCAGCCACTTAGCAAGACCCTGTCTCAAAACAAAAACTACAAAAAAGGAGGGCTTGGTGGCACAAACCTATAATCCCAGTGGCCTGGGAGGCTGAGGCAAGAGGATCTTGAGTTCAAGGCCAGCCTCAGCAATGTAGTGAATCCCTGAGCAACTCAGTGAGACCCTGCCTCAAAATAAAATATAGAAAAAGGGCTGAGGATGTGGCTTAGTGGTACCCCTGGGTTCAATCCCCAGAATGAGACAGAAAGGAAGAAAGAAAGAAGTTGAAAGAATGAATCTTAATTCTTAATAATATGGGAAAAGAGCCTTTTAAAACAGTCAAAAATTTTGGTTAGGGCTGGAATTGTGGCTCAGTGGTAGAGCACTTGCCTAGCAAGTGTGAGGCACTGAGTTCGATCCTCAGCACCACATATAAATAAATAAATAAAAGGTCCATTGACAACTAAAAAATATTTTTAAAAAATTTTTGGTTAATACCTCCAAACATTTTTCTACTTTCTAATTTGTCTTAATTCAAATTTGGTATCCTGTATTTTGTAGAAATAATTTTTCCCAACTTTCTCATTTATTAACATAAACTTCTTCCTACTGTTCGCTAGATATATAAACAATTTCATATGAATAGTATTAAATATTGTTTATCCTTCATATTGTTTAAATGTGTCTTTTCACATTTTCTTAATATTTCATCAGTTCTACTTCATCACTAGGTTTTTAATTTTTTTTCATTTTATTCCATTAAATACTTATTATAACTTACATTATATTTATTATTATATGTTACTTGCATTTAGCCTAGTTTTTGATTTTTTAGAATATATTCCCAGGTTTGAAATCTAGCACTTTGGTTGTCAGGGCATCTTCTCCTACTCTAGTGGAGTAGAAATTTGCAGTCATGCCAGATGTGGTGGGGCATGCCTGTAATCCCAGTGACTCAGGAGGCTGAGGCAGGAGGATATCGAATTCAGAGCCAGATTCAGCAAAAGCGGGGAGCTAAGCAACTCAGTAAGACCCTGTCTCTAAATAAAAGACAAAGTAGGGCTGGGGATGTTGCTCAACGGTTGAATGTCCTGGTAAACCACCCCCGCCCCCCAAAAAAGGAAAAAGAAATTTGCAGTTACTGTATTTCCCCGTCACAACACTAAATCGAAGCTGTACAAAAGTTTAGTATGGAGCATTTTCATTCTTCAATGCTACAAAGTTAGAATTATTTATAAAAATATTGCTCATCTTTAGCCAGGCACAGTGGTGCATGCCTATAATCCCAGTGACCTGGGAGAGTGAGGCAGGAGGATCAAGAGTTCAATGTCAGCCTCAGCAAAAGGAGGGAGCTAAGCAGTTCAGTGAGACCCTGTCTCTAAATAAAATACAAAATAGGGCTGGGGATGTGGCTCAGTGATTGAGTGCCCCTGGGTTCAATCCCCAGTGTGTGTGTGTGTGTGTGTGTGTGTGTGTGTGTGTGTGTATTCTTTCTAATTATTTTTGAAGTATATTAAAATTCCTTAATAAAATGTTCAAAAGTATTATGTAATGGGCAGCAAAGTTAATCTATGATTAAAACTAGTTTTTGGTGTTCCGTATGTGCTGAAAAAATAAGATATAATACCTAGATTTAATATATGTCTGTTATTTCAAACTTATTTATTGTATTGTTCAACTTCTTGAATCTTCAAAATTCTTCATGAGCTTCATCTCACAACAATCACAAAAAAGTCTGTTGAAATTTTTCACTATGATCAAGGAATTTACTTCATGATTCTGTAAAACATTCTTTGGAAACTTCAAAGCAGCCATTACATCCAATCCCAAAATACGGAATCAAAGCTTCATCCCCTCATGCCTTGTTCTCAGCCCCTCCATGCAGTGAATGGTTCCACTACAGATTTGTTTCCCAAGTTCAGAAAATATGGTCCACTCAGATGCTTCTTTTTAAATAGTAACTGAGATAATTACTTAACATAGAAAATTCCATATTTAAATGCTTCTGAAAACCCAATGATCCAACTTACTGCTCTTGTATTTATAAGTTACAAATTGAATTATAATTAAAACCAATTAATATGCTTAAGTGCTCTCTTGACCCCACCCAGGTCATTCTGTCAATCACTACTGGGAAATATTTGAAATACACCACTCTTCCATATTCTAAAATATCATATGTTTCAAATGACAAACTCTCTTCTTAGCATTTCAGATAAAATAGCAAAACCTGGTCTTTGATATCCTGCAGTGTCTCCTCAGTTCCATCCTAGGCACTAGTCGTTTTTCCCATTTTCTTAATTGATACTCTGTTTGACTTTTACATTTCATGAATCTCTTCATACATTTCTGGGCCCGGTTAATTCCAGGACAATTTTCACTAACTGGTTTAAAGTTCAATACTCATAAGCTTTGCATTGTCTCCAAATTAACCTCACATGTTGACCACAAAATTTCTCGGTTGGAATATGGGAAAACAGAGAAATTATGAAAACATTTTGCAAGACATCTAGTCTGGAAATGTGCTCCTACACTATGACACCTCTTGTGACAGCAGATTCAGTTTGCTGTTTACATTCTGTCCATCATCTGGCTGGCCCTTCTTGTGCTTAGACCTCTGAAGGAAAGAAGAATTGAATGGTGCCATTGAAAAAGAGAAGATAAACCGGGCATGGTGGCACACACCTGTAAGTCCAGCAGCTCAGAAGGCTGAGGCAGGAGGATCTTGAGTTCAAAACCAGGCTCAGAAAATTAGTGAGGCTCTACACAACTTAGCAAGACCCTGTCTCTAATAAAATATAAAAAAAAGGGCTTGGGGTGTGGCTCAGTGGTTAAGCACCCTGGGTTCAATCCCTGGTACAAACGAAAAAGTAAAAAAAGAAAGATAAAAAACTTGTAAAATCTAGAGCTACTTGGATCATTTAGAGGATAGCATACTCCCTCTGCAGCAGGCAAAGATGAGCCTGGATATCCTGGGGTCACGGCTCCTGAGAACAAAGGGGCTGACTGTAGGAAAGCAAGCAGTGATCAAGGCAGAGCTGTTCACCAGCCACCAACCTGGATCATTTAAACGAGCCAAAAATAGTGAGAAAATGCAAGAGAGAGTGTAAAATGATACAAAGGTGCCCACTAGGACAAGGATGCTTTGAGTGATTCTAGTCTCAGGGGAGGATCTTGGGGAGAGGGTGGCGCTATGGAGGTGTCGGACCTGCCGCTTGTGCTTGTACAGGATGAGAACTATGAAGCTACTGGTCCAGACCATCAGTCCCAGACACAAAACATCATAGGAGGACAATAGTGCTATAAGTAGCACACCCGTGACTCTGTTATCAATTACTGCAGAACAGTATCCATAATCTATTTTATTTGTGGTGTTTTTGCTGTTCCACTTGCCAACATACATAGGAACACTGATGTTCAACAGCATGTTTAGCATCCAGCACAGGATGTTGGAGGGCCCCATGTATCTGGAAGCTTGCGGTTTCATCTCTGCCCACCTGAAGTTCCTGGGGCTGATCGTGATGGCCTGGAAGATACTCAAGAGGCAGGTGATGCCGGTGCCCACACCCCTGCCAACTCTGTGAACATAGAAAACAAGTTTGCATCCAGTATCACTGAGGAAATGTGTTGCCCCAAAAGCAGACATGGTCTGTGGGACTCCTTTACAGAATATGACCAAGAAGTTAGCCAAGGTCAAGTGCTTGAGAATCAAATCCTTGGGCCTTACAGGACATCTGGTGAGATAAAGGAAATTATGGAAGAGAAGAAAGAAATTCCCCAGGAATCCAATTATGGTCTGCGATAAGAAGACCATTCCTATCACCAAATCACCGGAGGCCATGGCAGTTTCCAAGAATTGATGGTTCCATTCGCTGAGGGGATCCTGCATGGAAAACATGAGATGTGTTTTATTTGGGCAACCCAGATCCACTATTGTTCCCTACCTTTGTTTCCAATCAATAATTTCTTATCATATTCTTTTCTCTAAGTGATTTGCTATTAGAAGAAAAACATAAAGAATACTATTATATCATTTTATGCAACAAGTATAGTACTCTTTTAATACTTTACATATAACTTTTACAACAATTTTATGAAGTAAACACGTCATCATTCTCAGTTAATAAGTGAGAAGATCTTAGGCACAGAAGAGTTGAATAATGTTTCCAAAGTCCCCACCTTATAGAGTCAGTCAGGAGTTGACAATTTACTTAATCCAGTGTATCTCAACCCCAGACATAGTTATTTATGTTCTCCTAAAACTCTACATACATTCTATGATTTTGTGTATCTTGTCAATATTTTAAATAATGGTTGTACTTTTTTTTTTACTAATGTGTTTAACAATTTTCCACTTAAATCTTTTTTTGTTTTGTTTTGGTAGCTGGGGATTGACCCCAGGGCCTTTTGCATGCAAGACAAGCGCTCTACCAGCTGAGCTATGTCCACAGCTATCCACTTAAATCTAAAAGCTTCATTTATAGGCAAACACCACCTTAAATAATTCAAAAGAGGACACGGAGTCTGTGTACTTAGTAAAACCCTAAAGAAATACTTATATCAGATGAAATGGAATTGATTGAATGTGCCACTCATTCTGTGTTGGAATTAAAGGAAGAGAATCTTTTCCATCTTAACCATGTATGCTAAGCAATGATACATGGAACATGAATAGGGTGATAAATGCTTGTAGAAGGGAGACTAAATTACCATTAATTTTAGAGAAAGTTAATATTTGTTTATGAATGGAAAATATCGGATAAAATGAATTCAATTTCACAATTATTAAACATTCTAAAACACAACTGTATTGTGCAAAAGGGATATTGGTAGGGGAAATTATTTCCTGAATCAATTTAAATAACACTAAGATGAATATTGAGTCTGTGAATGGCATCAGAACATTTTTTGAAACCATAGAAAATATCATAAAATAATGAAATTTTGAAAATTGCCTAAGTCCATAGTTTTTTTCTCAGAAAAGAAAAAACTAAATCATCAAGTTAACTTTCCTTAAATGCTTCTTCCCTGACTTCAATAATGAACAAAGTCTAAACGTAATCTGCAGATGTTAGATATTTTCTGTCGCTGCATAATTACTGTTTCTATGAAGTGTAAAATAATAATGAGGTGAAAAGCCCTTGTTTACTATTTCTAAACCAAAGTACACCAATCAGCTACATCTTACACATTATCACAGGCATGGAGGTACTGGAGAAAAACTTGGACCAACTGAAAATGTTCTTGACTCCTGTAAAGCAGATAGAAGAGCTAGCAGATGACATTCTGAATAACATGAGAAAATCTTAAAAGCCCACATTCTATGGCTTCATCAATCAAAATCCAACGATGAAGAATGAGTTGAATAAAATTAAAAGCACTTAGGAAATTTTTTTATTTTGGTCCACCATTTCTTCTCCACAGGTTCAGCCCAGGATAAGTAATTACTCTCCCTTACTTCCATAACTTTGGTACCATCCAGTTTATAGTGCAGAAGAGTCCTCTTTTCAAACAACAGCTCTTACTGTATCTTCTGATGCCTTTGCTTTCCTTGTAGACCATGCTTCCCAGAACAAAATACAAAATACTCACCTGACTCCTTCCTGCTGCCAGGCTGGTGAGCTCCAGGCATTGATCAGGACAGCCAGAGAGTGTGTGGAGGGAGACAGGCAGGTGTGGGATATGGGTTTGTGATCCTCTGACCTCATCTCCCCACAGGACTGCAATTATCATTCCACCTGTACCAACACTGATAGCAGACACTGGGAACTCAAGTTAATTCTGAAAAACTTCATCCCAGTTACCAATTACTAAAAACAATTATAACTTTCTAGAGAGCCTCTCCAGAGATCTGAGAATGGCCCTTCTAATCAAACATCCCCCCGGGGCACATAGAAACTCTCTTGGAGAGAGCAGGAAATGCTGAGGTCCGAGACTGGAGGGACCCAGCACCTGTGTCTTAGTGGATTTTGTGCTTTTCCCAAGATGCTCTTCTGCTGAAACTCAATCTGTGTTGATCTGCATGTTCCTGAAACAAGACAATTATCTAATTATGAACAGAGACATGGTGAAAGAATTACAGGTCTATTTCACTTATCTTGGGAAAGCTTTGGTATAAGGAACTGAACCCAGGGGCACTATACCACTGAGCCCCATCCCCAGTTCTTTTTTTTTTTTTAAGTATTTTTTTAGTTGTAGATGGACACAATATCTTTATTTATTTATTTTTATGTGGTGCTGGGGATCGAACCCAGGGTCTCACGCATGCAAGGCAAGCGCTCTACCACTGAGCTATAGCCCCAGCCCCCCCAGTTCTTTTAATTTTTTTTTTATTCTGAGACAGGATCTCTCTACATTGTTGAGGGTCTCACTAAGTTGCTGAGGCTGGTCTTGAACTTGTGATACTCCTGTCTCAGCCTCCTTAGTTGATGGAATTACAGGCTTGGATTGCCACACCTGGTTTATATAATTTTCTTTTTCTGGACAGCATGGCTTTATTTAATTTATTTTTGTATGTGGCGCTAAGAATCGAATCCAGTGCCTCATGAGCGCTAGGCAAGCACTCTGCTTCTAAACCCCAGCCCCAGCCCTAAATTTTAATTTCATAACAACTTTTATTTTGATTTATACAGCCATTAAGACAAAAGAAGAAAACTTTTAGAAACATTGTGATTTTGTTGACAGATTTTTCTGGTTTCCTATAGAACATTGTAGTGGCTACTGTCTGTCCAGTATCCTTAAGTTTCATTTTATTACTGTTCTGAAATTCCTCTCCCACTTTTCTATGGGTTTCATACATCTCTATTTTCAAGCCTGGCTTCTACTTTTTTTTTTTAAATCTTTATTTTATTTATTTATTTACTTATTTTTATGTGGTGCTGAGGCTCCGACCCAGCTCCTTGCACGTGCTAGGCAAGTGCTCTACCGCTGAGCCACAACCCTAGCCCTGGCTTCTACTTCTTAATAGAAATAAGGAAAATGGAAATGTAAGGCTGGGGTGGTGGCTCAGTGGTAGAGCGCTCACCTGGCACGTGTGAGGCCCTGGGTTCCATTCTCAGCACGGCATAAAAATAAATAAATAAAGGTTCATTCACAAATAAACATATAAAAGTTATATGAAATATACTATGAAAAAAGAAAATGGAAAATGCTTACACTTCATTTATTCAAGCTAGATTATATGTAGGCCCAAATATAAAACCAGAAAACTAGGAACCATTTTCCCAAAGCTGTTGTCTTTGGGAACTCGCCATCCAACCACTAGCCCTCTTTGAGGGGCTCTGATCCCCACCAGAACAGAGGGCTCCTCCAATTATGTTGCTCATTCCCATCAGCACTGAAATTCCTGTGCTACTTGTCACCATCAATCAAGCGGGGTCCCCACACTTGCCCTCAAGCTTGGGTCAAAGAAGAGGCTCCCGCACTGCTGCCCTTGGGAACATTTCCTACTTCAGATGATGTCATTCTAATTTATCAACAGTATTGTGGGCCTGAGGAGGTGGTGGCGCCATCATTAAATGAGATATATGTATGCAGGAATCAGTTTCCTTAAGTACGGCAGCACAAAGATTTGTTGATAAGCCCTGGGATGGAATTTCCAGTAAAGAAAGACAAAATTTCTGCATTGGAGGTTATAATGCTTCATGTCTTCATCTCCCAGGCGTACACAATGGCAAGATTATTCTACAAGAGTGTGATTTTTATCTACAGCTTTTATTATACTTTTGCAATACTAAACTATATCACCTCTTGTTAATTGAAGGTTTTGTTTTGTTTTTGGTTGGGGGGTACCAGGGATTGAACCCAGGGACACTCAACCCCTGAGTCACATCCCCAGCCCTATTTTGTATTTTATTTAGAGACAGGGTCTCACTGAGTTGATAGCGCCTCCCTGTTGCTGAGGCTGTTTTTGAAATTACGATCCTCTTGCCTCAGCCTCCTGAGCTCTGGGATTACAGGAGTGTGCCACTGCACGTGGCTTATTTGGAGGTTTTTAAAAATGGGATCCAAATGCATGGGGCATCCCATGCTGATTTGGAATGGTGAGAGTTTATGCACCCCAAAGGGGGTAGACTTATATTCATAAATACTATAGGTAAGGTAAAAATAATTGCGAGGTTTTTAGCAATTTTTCTAATTCCAATTGAACCATGACAGAGATTTGACGAGTGGGACTTTCTAGAGAAGTGATTCTGGAGCATGATCAGCAAGGTGGTTTCCTCTCTCCTCTATAGTCTAATTTTAAAAGGCCTTGAATCTTAACAATGTCCAGGCAATAGGTAGCATTATTTCATCTTATACATCTTTACATATAGTTCATTTTTAGTCTTTGCAATTCCAAATGAATACCAACAATCTACATAGACACAAGACTCTATATGGTGGCTCATTAATGTTCTCATTTGGAATATTTATTTTATATTTTCTTTCTTTATTCTCCCACCCCCTTTCTTTTATCCAGTACTAGGATTTGAGCACAGAGCCTCGCTAGGCAAGCACTCTACCATTGAGCTATACCTGCAACCCTCTTATGGGTTTTGAAGGGGACTGTTTGGACTTTTTAAAATCTGGTATCAATCTGTTTTCTAGTTTCTAAGCTATTTACAATAATGAAAGAGGCAAGGAAGATTTCATCTGTGGGCTTCCATCTGTGGTAGCTGATAATCTGGGCAGTTTTCTTTGTAACTAATATCCTCTTGAGTAAAAGCCAAATGATTAATCAGAGCGTAGATACAGTTCCCCATTCGAAGGTGGTTTTTTCAGCCAGTTAGGGGAGCTCTAGAATTAGGACATTCACAAACAGAATTAAAAGTTACTTGAGTAAAATCAACATCCATAGGG